ACCGATATCCAGTTCCCCACGGGGTTGAACGCATTTTCATACTCAAAATGTGGCTTTAGTGTTAGGGTTACATTTTGGATTACTGAGGACTCGCTCGCAGTGCATGCTGGGAAAACAAAACGCAGCTCATGCGCCTGCAGTTCCTCTGGTGTCCAGCAGAGGCAGCAGTGAGTCTGTCCCGTAGACTCCCCTGTTAAAACTTTAGGATAGAATATTTATTATATGAAAATGTTTGTTACAGCAGAGTCAACATGTTCACAAACTGTTTGCACTCTGTAGATCATTTCTTTCTTTATAACACCTGTTATTATAACTCACCTGTTTAACCTGTGTTACAGCTGAAAGTGTGCATTATTATCATACAGGCAGCTGTAGCTGCTAGCTGTCTGCTAGGCTTCACCTCAGCTGGATAAACTGGAACTGGCTGCTGTGATGTTAGCTGGTCAGATGGAAAGCTGAAGCCCCAGCCTGTCCAGCTGACAGTGAGTGGTACAGTGTACATGTGGCACCCTGAAGAATCATCATACACTAATGCACTGAAGGTACAGTCAGTCATTTGTTGAAGATACTTAATAAAAAACATGATGCTGTACTCACTCTGTGAGATGGGCAGTAACACATTAAAAGTAACGCATTACTGTAATCCGATTACTTTTTTCAAGTAATGAGTAGAGTAAGGGATTACTATTGCAAAAAAGTAATTAGATTATTGTTACTTTCCCATAAGCATGCTGCATCACTAAACAGTGATTCTGTTTGTGAGAGTAAAGACTTTAAACACAATCATTTTATTTATTTACATTTCTTCAAGGCAAAGACTGTTGCATTTAATTTAATGTTTGTTTGATGCACGAAGTTAAAAGATTAAAACGAATAAAACAATTTTTAAAAAGAGGCTTTTTTTTTATGATGTATTGTACAGAAAAAATTGAATTGGGCTGAAAAGTCAATTACTTTACTTTGTATTCAGGTTTTGCATCATATTTTTACAAAGTAACTAAGTAATAAAGTAACTAATTACTTTTGAAAAATAAGTAATCAGTAATTAGTAACTAATTACTATTTTCAAGGAACTTGACCAACGCTGCTCTTAAGTATCCATAAAATACTGTAATTACACAAACATGTCCACGCCGTTTGTGGTTCCAGTTACTCTACACTGAATGTTTTTGTCCCACAACAGTAAGAAAACAGACCTCTGCTGACATCTAGAGGAGAGAAATGTTACAGACTGTAACTTTAGCCTGAGGAGTCTAAAACCCAATAAACCAGTCTGTCACAGGCCTGAACGATGGCCACACATGAGCCTGTGTGAGTCTGCCCTGTGTGTGTGATAAAGAGCTGAGTGAGCATCAAATTAAAATTGAAATGTTATTTTTTAAATGAAACAGTTTTCTAATATTCTGAAGGGGAAGCATGTGGCAGCAGAGATCATGGAGTGAAGGCTGTGACCAACGTTTCCAGCACCTTGTTCATTAATGAAGCAGCTCATAGTAAAAACAGGACCAACATGGCAGCAGTAAGGTTTCCTAATAGAGTGGTCGGCGAGCGCAGAAGCTCTACAAAAGCTCTTTTTGCAGTTTGATGTGAACCTGAGTGTGGAAGCACTTCTTCCTGTGTGGGTTCTCTCTGGGTTCTCCAGCTTCCTCCCACAGTCCGAACACCTGCCTGTGAGGCTAACAGCTGATTCTCAGACAGGTGAGAATGTTGATGGCTGTTTGTGATTGAACTTTGTAGTGGTGTCAGTTCTGTTTGCACCAGCAGAGGGCGCCAGCTGTTTTTGTGACCTCTGACTCCTCTCCATGAAGTGAGGAGTCGGTGCATTTACACAACTCTGAATCAGTCTACAGACAAACTCTGAGTTCTTTGGACATCACCTTTTTTGGTCTTCTAGGTGTGTTTTTGGAAAACATTTGAGGTCAGAGGTCACATGATGTCAAAATTATAGCCTAAATAAGGGGAAGAGAGCGATGTTGATAGGAAGTAGCAGCAGGGTCAAAGGTCGTGAAGG